TTTCCCCTTCCTTCCAATTTCTTCCAATAAATAAATGAAATGCATTTATCAAGACATATTAGGGTTGGCTACTGCTGTTCCATTTTAGAAATTTATTGTTGTGGGAAGAATTCTAGTCTATGAATGGTGTTTTATTCCAGTAAGGGAAAAGATAGCAGGTAGTATGATGAGGGGAGATTGAGATAATTTTCAAAGCTGTTTCTACTGTTTAGTTACTTGAAATATCCTTTTATAATAATTAGCTCATATAAGCAATGTCCCCTCGAGTTCATTGGTTCCCTCTTCTTCTGCTGTCAGGCATTTGTATTAGACAAATATGTTAGCAGTAAAATCATAATAGCTCTGAGCCCCCAATTCAGCTGACTTGACATTTATATCTATCTCTAACTAACTGCTTACCACTTTGTGGTTGAGGTAAAGTTCATTTTATCAGAAACATTGGAATAATAAAGGGATAGACTATATAACAGTATTTCTGGATATGACAGCATTCTGGACAGGCTCCAGGAGGGGAAGTTACCAAAAAAAAAAAGCAGACCTTTCCTTGGAATTTCCCTTATCTTTGTGGAGTGGCTACAGATGGTGGTGCCAGCTCAATCTTGTGCCTCAAGATGCCAGAAAGGCTGATTCTGTCCTTGAAATCTCCATTCTCTGCCACATTTCACAATGACCTTCTCCTTTTAGTGACTCCTCATGGGTTGCCAGTTCTTTCTGTCTCACTTCTAGACATCCTCACTCCTCCACTCTCAGATCTCTTAATATCTCTTGACACCAAAGCTTGACCTCTTAGTTTCCCACTGGTCTGATAATTTATAAAATACCCTCAGAGAATGACTAAATTCTCTCAGCCAATGCAAACAGTTCACCCAAGGACTTTTCACCCTTGATCTCAAATCATTGATTGATTGAGTCTTGTTCTCACCTTGTCAAAGTATCATTTGCTTTAAGTAAGGTAAGATGGCCTGATAGATTTGCTCAACCAACATCCTACTCTACATCCTAAACACACATTTGGGGGAGGAGGCAAGAAAGAAGAATGGTTTTGATATTAGACATTGAAACACGGTCCACATTCAACTTTGAAATTCCTCAAAGTTAATGGAAATGCTACTAGTATGCCACTGTAAAGATGCATGTGCTTATTTACGCAGAGAAGATGAAAGAGAGTAGAAAGAAGGAGTAGGCACCAGAGAATCTGCAAGTCATGTAGGGATTCAGGAACACACATTCCTTTTGCAAGAGTGGCATAGGGGGAGGGTCCATGGTTGTGGAATATTGCACAAATGTCAGATTTTTCAATGTATTTATCAGTTTTGCTATTTTTTCCTCTTTTCTCCTCTTTCTTTCTTTTTTTTAATTCTTTGCTATGTAAGGGAGTGGTTCTCAAAGTGTGGTACAGGGATCCCTGGCTATCTCCAAGGAAGGTAAGTAAAATCAAAACTATTTTCATAATACTACTAAGACATTTTAATGTCTAATACTGTAAATACATCTAAAACCCACATGAAGAAAAGCTATTTGGGGGAAGGGCTCAATAATTTTAAAGAGTATAAAGGGGTCCTGGAGGTGGGGAATAAGTCACTCTAGGAGGAGGCAACACATAGGATGCAATGGGAAATCTAGGCAATGTAAGTACAAGAGATCTAAAAATAATTTTAGAAAAGACTCAGGAATTTCAGACTTATTTATAGACAATTTGTAGTAAGCAGTAGGCAGAGGAGGTTAGCTTAGTAAGTGATCAAATTGTTAGGGAGGATTTAAGTAACTTAAAATAGCATTACTTTATTAATTAGTCCTTTATTAATCAGACCATTCCAGAAGTGCCTATACGAGGTATTAATTGCTTTGATAAATTAATGGATTTGTGATTTACTCAATATGATTAATCCCTCAAAAGACTCAAATCTCAATCCAGCAATGTCTGTCTCTACTGTGTGACTCTTATTTATGTTATACCAGAAGTCTACCATAGGGGATTCACCTCATGTCCTAGAAGATCTTTTTAGGAATCTCTAAGCATTATCTGTATATCAATGCATCTTGAAAACTGGCATATGCCAAACAGTCTTGAAATGAAAACCACTGAAGGCAGGTTGACATTGATGATGATGATGATGGCATGCATAATAATAAAAATAGACATGTTTAGAATAGCATAATATACCAAACTGGAGAAGGAAATGGCAAACTGCTCCAGTATCTCTGCCAAGAAAACCCAAATGGGGTCATGAAGAATCAGGCATGACTGAAATGACCGAACAACAAAAGCACATGAAATACCATGCATTCTAAAAGGTATTCAAGTATAAAAGTTCGTGTCATGCTATGTAAGTGCTAGCTATTATTATTATTATTATACCCCCCCACAAAAAAAGTGAATTTTCTTTTTTGTGTCTCCAGCATCTTGCAAAAAGTACATAGGGGCTAGAACTCTGATTTCATTGACATTGAGAACTCTCCCAGATGATAAAATCCCTAAGGGAGGTCTATCAGACTCTTCTAGATTGATCTGGACCGCTGAGAGGTTAGGTGATGTCCCAATGCTCTACATCAAGGCTTTATCAGAGGAACAATCTAAAATTATATATTCCTGGCTCCAAGGCAGACCCTCTAGTTATCCTATCACACATTCTCTCACCTGGTATAGACAAATATTTGTTATTTTTTTTTTGGCAATTGGGGTTAAGTGATTTGCCCAGAGTCACACAGTTAGTAAATGTCAAGTGTTTGGTCTGAGGCTGGATTTGAACTCAGGTCCTCGTGACTTCAGGGCTGGTGCTTTATCCACTGTGCCACCTAGCTGCCCCCAAGATATTTGTTAATTGATTCATCAAAAAGAGATACACTATTTAATTTCAATATATTAACAAAACTTTTACTTGAACAAAATCAATGCATTTTTTGATAAAAAGAAAACTATTGAGTGGAAAAATGCTTGCATCAAGTATCTCAGAAAAGTATGTGATATTTAAGATCTATAGGCAATTGACACAGATATATCAAACCAAGACCTTTGCCCCCTCCTCTGATCCCAAAGTCTTCCCAGACTCATCTCAGAGGCTAAGCTGCAGGAAGGCCCACCACCTGGAGTGCCCTCATCCAATTCCTCCCCTGATCCCCAGGAGACCCAAATACTATGAGGTGTGGAACCAGCATGACTGGTTACACCATTTAGATAAGGTGGGGGTCACCAAGTCTAATCCTTCTGGTGAGCTGGAGGATACCCATGCCTTAACATTGGCCCTGCCACCGCATTCTGACATTCTTCAGGCCTCACTATCTGTTCAGCTACTGTATCCCCCAGTGCCCCAGGGCACTCTTATCTAGACTGCCAACAAGCCCTAAGGACCTCTGGACCTGGCCATTTGCTCTGTCACTCACCTCTTTAGGATTTCCAGGCATTTGCATCTGCCCGGCAGCTGAATTCTCACATACAGTTCTACCCCAAATTAAAGTGTGAGCTCCCAGACAAGCAGATGTTGTTTCCCTTTTTCTAAATATATCTCCATTTAATGTAGTGCTTGGCACACAATAAGCACTCAATAAATGCATTTTCATTCATTCATCTCCCGATGGATAAGTGGTCAAAACATATAAATAAACAGTTCTCAAAAGAATTGCAAACTCTTAACAAAGACATGAATCAGTGTTCCCAAACACAAATAGAGAACAATAAAGATAACAGTACTGGCAAAGCCAACAAAAACATGGAAAGTTAGCATTGGAGGGGCTTTGGAAGGCCAGACAAAAACATACACTCTTCAGGGAGCTGGGGACTTTGGGGCATAAGAGCCCAAATTAAATCCATCTTTCTTCCTTCCTTCCTTCTTTTCCCTCCCTTCCTTCCTTCCTCCCCCCATCCCTCTCCTTCCTTCCTTCTTCCCTTCCTTCTTATGCCCAGCACAGGATTTGCACACAGGTGGTAGGGCTTGAATCCGAAAAACAAGACTGACCCTCTCTACTACACTGTATTATATCTCACTGAAGATGAAGAAAGAGAAAAAAGATATGGAAACAGACATTGTGCTAGATACTAGACTACAATTAAAGCAAATACAATGTGGATAAAACTATTTTTGTATCCACAAATCAGTTTACGATCAATATTGCACCCCATCCCACCTGCCTCTTGGCAGCTGGGTAGTAGAATGAATAATGTTCTAAGCCTGAAGTTAGGAAGACCTGATTCCAAAACTGGCCTCAGACACTAGCTATGCTTCCCCAACTCTAAAATGTGGATAATAACAGTCCCTCCCTCACAGGTTGTTGGGGGAATTGAATGAGTTAATATTTATAGAACACTTAGCACAATGCCTGATACATAGTAGGTGTTTAATAAATGCTTATTCCCTTCCCCTTCTCACCCCCTCCCCAGCCCCAGCACATCCCCTGTGAAAATGCTTATTTCTCTACCAATTCTGATTCATATCCTTGTCAAATCCTAATTCGTTTATTTGAATGGGAGGGTTCCAAAGAGAAAAAGTAAGAAACTCAGCCAGTGAACCCAACCATAGAAGAGGAAAATGACCTCAACCATAGACATGTAGTCATAATTAATGTGTTTCTGTCCATTTTAATGCACATGTGTGTGAAAATTGGCTCGGTTATCATTCATTTCAAATACAATACTCCTGAATCTCAATGTAAATTAAAAGGATAAGAACCAGGTTCTGCTCTCACAAACCTGGCCTTTTGTCTACTCTTTGGAAATCATCTTTGAATATTCAGCCATTTCCTTTCTTAAAATCTATTGGCCAGGTGCTCAAAAAATTGTTCAATAAACACAATTTCAGCTCCTCCCTCCCCTGGGCAGCTTTTGGAGAAGAGATAGAAAGCAATCTAAAGGGAAAGCCTTAATAGGAGCAGCTAACAGCCATTTGACAAGGTGTGGATGAAACTTGTTCTTTCCCTATCAATAGGTTCTCCAACATCAGCAGCAGTCCAAAGGAGAGGCCCATCTCCAGCACAGACAAACCACAGCCCTTAGTGAGAAGACTTACCACGCCAATGGAAAAATAGTTATTGATGATCGAGTAAGGCACTGGGTCTCCCTTTTCATCTTTATCGTTCGGGGTGACCTCAAACTTCCATCGGTCCAGCATGATCTGGGAGCTGTTCTCAATGTCTCTGAGGATTCTCATCAGACTCTCCCCTTCATAGCCTAAGACAAGGAACAATGATTGCTTAGCTCGAGGAAATGGGAAAGGGATGCCAAAGATGGGGCTGCCTTAGCTTAAGGACCATGCTTACGTTTTCATGGACACCTGGAGCATGGAGGCATGGGCAGAATGGTGGGGGTTGGGAGGGAAGGGAGTATAATCTCATCAATCAATACTTCTCTGCCCCCTGTGCTGGCCCCATAAAATAACCTTGGTGACCTTGAAAGCCACGGAATAAAGATCTCTGAAGTTGTAAGAACATTCAGATGGCATTCAGGAAGCCCCTTCTTTTGTTTTCTTCTCATCATTAAGAATCAACCAGAACTATTCTAACACTCATTTATAACATGAAGCCTTCAAATAGCTATACTCTTAAGGCTGTCTGCCTCTACTGATTATGGTTCAACTGCTGAGAAGTTATTTACAAGGGAAGGAACATGATTTTATATTTGAGCAAGCAGCGGGGTATAGCGGAAGGAGCCCTGGAGGACTCAGAGTCAGGGAAATGAGGCTCAGCTGTGTAAGCAGAGGCAAGTATGTCCCTCACCTTTCTTGGAGAGGCAGTCAAATGTGGGAGACCTGGCATGAGGAAATAGCTGGGTTTGAATCCCAGCTCTGGCACGCTGTGACTGTATGACTTTGGGCAAGTCATTCCCTTGCTCTCTGCCTCAGTTTCCCCACCAGATTGTAAGCAATATAATAATAATTCCAGTGCCTGCCTCAAAAGGTGTTGTGGCTTTCATCAGCTCTGTTCTGCAGTTCACGAGTAGGAGCAGAGAAGACAAGTGGTGAGGATAATTGAGGCCTGGGGAGCTGACGAGGCATGATGGTCCCCAGGACGAGGACAAAGTTTAGTCTTGAACTGTTTCAGGTAGGGGCCAACCCCAGCAAAGGAGAGCTTGGTCAGAACCTGGGTGAGAACCTAGAAAGATACTGCTGGACGGTAGGACTGAAGGCCTCCATGAGTGAGGACAACAGCTGAGGAAGGTTGGAACCTTAAGGGATTGTGAACAACTGGTTTCCATGGCAATGCCTCCCCCAACCTTGAGTTAGCCAGCAGCCACCTGCGGGGTTGACAGGGGCTCAGGATACTGGCACAGCGAAACACTAAAAATTGCTTGTTGACTGACTATCTGTGAGCTCGGGAGTAAGATGGAAGACTCTTCAGGGCAAGAGCTGTTTTATTTTTGTCTCTATCCCCAACATGTCAGGCTATGACTTTGTCAAGGATTCCCTTTCTTCTTGGATTTCCTGCAGATCAGGTTGGCAAGATGCTCAGAGAATTCTGTGATATCTCCAGTCACCTGACATAGGCAACATGTTTCAGACATGGGATCTGAATCCAGCACTTCCTGACACCCAAATCAGTACTCTATGCACCATGAGACACAGAATGTGCTCAGTGCATTTCACTGAGATGCTCAGTGCATATCTGCATGATACTGGTGCCTTTCCTGGAGGAAGGAACACACACTTGCCCAAGAGAAACTATAAATCAGGCTGGCCTCTCTTCACCCACCATCCTCAACTCCAGCATTCCCTGGGCAGGTGTCATTAGAAAGGGAATCTGCAGAAAGAGGCTCTGATCTCCAGAGAGCATCTTTGCCCAATGCTAATTCTGCTCCTCCATGAGTATCCCAGCATGGAAATAGTACTCAGCTTCCCAAGATCTCCTCAAGAGCTGACCATTTGGTCTTTAGGACTCGATACTAAAATGTGAAATTGTCACCTACCGACACGATATTGAGAAAGAAACATTATTATTAGTGATAATATCTAACACTTATTCAGTGCTTCAAGATTCAAAGAGCACTTTATGTATATTATCTCATTTGATTCTCACAATCACCTTGTGAAGTAGGTGTTATTACCCCCATTTTACAGATGAAGAAACTGAGGCTGAGAAAGTAAAATGACTTGCCTAGAGTCACATAGCTAGTAAGTGTCTGAGGAGGGATTCAAACTCAGGTGTTCCTGAATCCAAGTCTAACATTCTATCTACTGTGCCAGCTGATTTCCACAAGAAGGAAAAAGAAAGTATATTAATGATCTGGTCAGTACCTGTAACTTCATCCTTATGACAAACACCCGGAAGAAGTCACCTGAGACCCTTAAAGGCTAAGTGACTGTCATAGTCACATGTCATTGACATTAGTGCTACCTGCCTCTTTGCATAAACAAAACCATTTTCCCTTTAAACACACACATGCATGGGTGCTCACAAGTGCAACGTGACTGATGGCACCCAATCAGCTCTTTTCTATTTGTTGTTTGTTTTGTTTTTCGGAATCCAAACATGACTACGGGTTTTCTCTGTAGTTCCTTGGAGATCAAGCCAAATGCTTTATAGCAATCTCTCATTCAATTATTCCCATGATTCTCAAACTACAAATTAAAGTAAGTGTATTAAACAACCTTCTACCCAAGTTACACAATCACTTTCTATAGTCCTCATGGAGATGTCCTTCTCCACATGAATTTCTTAAGCAAGTTAGGATACTAAGAACTGTCCATTGCATCTGCCCAGGGGTGGGAGCTGCTGTTTATTGTGCAGCCTGACTTCCACAACGAACCTTCTCTGCTTGGCTCATAGCTTATCTCCTGCCCCAAAGCAAGTTAGGACAGTTTTTTGTTTTGTTTTGTTTTGTTTTTTTCCATAAAAAATGTATGGAGATCACCTTGAAGACTTGGTTGGCTCAGAGGACTAAAGCTTCAGGCTTTGGGCATCCCTTCCTGACCACTTGAGGGCAAGACGGCCGTGAGGAGTTCCAAGCACTCTTTCTGATGCTTGGCTGGTAGATTTCAATGGGTAACTCAGGCTGAATCAACTCCAGGTGTCCTCGATGCCTCCCCTGTTTAATATCTTCCCCTTCCCCTACTATGGCTAAGTAAATCTTTTTTAACTGTTGAATAACCTCTAAATATCTTATTTTTTCCCAATGTTCCCAATATTTAGCCTAAACTATCAGTTGACTGGCCTGAGTCATGCCCCGATCCTAACAACTGGCATTATAGGTAGAATGGCCTTAATCCTTTTTTTAAGGAACAATGATTTTTCCAAAAGATTTTTTTGTCCTTCAATACTCTCCTGAGAGGCACAGTCAGGGGCCATTTCCATCCCTCACACATCATATGTGAGCCAATCTTTTGAGAAACAAATGTTTTTTATTATTGAATTGAGCAAGGGGGACTAATACATCTCATTCTGGCAGGTCACTAGCCAATCCATTTTGAATGGGAGGCTTCATGAACCTGTCTGTCCTGGTTAGCCAAACTCAATAATTTCTATTTTCTCGAATTCGTCTGTTCATTCTTTCATTCTTTATATTTACCTCCTCCCCATCTGAGGCATCTGGCGAGGTCATTCCCGGTCCCAAGAGGCAGGATAGCAACTGGAGGATGCTTGACTATATTTGCCTTCTCTATGGAATGGGAAAGGAAACAGACAAATACAGAGAGAGAGAGAGAGAGAGAGAGAGAGAGAGAGAGAGAGAGAGA